ACCAAACTCAGATCAAGTTCAAATTTGGGTGGTGTCACTTTCATGACTCTTGAGTTATGTCCCTTTATAAATTGAAAATTGTTGAATTTGCTGTTTTAGACTTGAACTTTACTCTGTCTCAACCAAATGTTATGAAACTTATACACAATGCTTATTACCACCCAACACATATGAAGTTTGAATTTGGGTGATGTCATTTTTTCGTCCTTGTGTTATGTCTCTTTATAATTGGAAAAATTGCTGAATTTGTGGTTTCCTCAATCTTACTTTACTTTGTCTCGACCAAATGTTATGAAATTTATACACAATGCTTATTACCACCAAGCACTGATCATTGATCCCTTTTTGTGTCCCTTTCTACATGTTCTAGTAAATAGAAAATTGCTGAATTTGCCATATATTTACAAGCGGGGTTACTTATGTCCAATGGACACATTCTTTTTTATTCCTTTTGTGTTGTTGTCTCATCAGCATATATGCTAATATTCCTTTTATTCATAATTGAAACAATTTGATCTTTCACTTTAGAAATATTCTGGTGTCAAAATGTAATGCAATTGGATGCTACAAAAGTACACACTGTATTTAAGGTAGCACAGTCCAAAGATTATTCACCCCCAATCATTCTAAAAGTTTTATGCAACTGTTTTTATAAGGTACACATTGACACCAATTGGAATTCATTTTGTTCAAAAAAAGGAAATTTTAATTTTTATACGACCGCAAAAAAAATTTTGTGGTCGTATATTGGTATGACGTTGGCGTCGTCGTCGTCGTCGTCGTCCGGCGTCGTCCAAATACGCATTAGTTTCGCACTCTAACTTTAGTTTAAGTGAATGGATCTCTATGAAATTTTACCATAAGGTTCAATACAACAAAAGGAAGGTGGGGATTGATTTTGGGGGTTATGGTACCAACAGTTAAGGAATTAGGGGCCAAAAAGGGGCCAAAAATAAGCATTTTCTAGTTTCCAGACAATAACTGTGGAACGGTGTATGGATCTCTCTGAAATTGTACTACAAGTTTCCATACCACAAAGGGATGGTTAGGATTTGCTTTGGGGGGTTATGGCTCAAACCGTTTAAGAATTAGGGGCAAAAAAGGGGGAAAAATAAGGTTGTCCTGGTTAATGGACAAATACTTTAGTACAAAACATAATTTAAAGCAGTGTAAGGGAGATAAATCAAATACATCATTGAAATTATCTCCCTTACACTGCTTTTAAATTATGTATAAAGTAATGGTTAATGAACAATTAAGATAATTTAAAACAGTGTAAGGGAGGTAATACAAATACAACGTTTTGGTTACTTCCCTTACACTGCTTTTAAATTATGTTTAAAGAAATGCATATTTATAAAGGAAGACCAGTAAAAATATCTGCAAATGTTGCATCTTTTTTTTTTACAAAAAAATCCATATGAAAGATTTGACACTATATTTTAAATTCTATTATAAAATAGATTAAGTTAGCACTATGGTAAATTTAAATGGGTAATTATGGTTTGGGGGAAAAAAAAGGGGGGGGGGGGGGTAAAAAGAAATTGTGGGGGGTCAATTTTTTCTCATTTCAGATTTCAGAAATTAAAAAGAATTATTCTTCAAATATTATTTTTTTTTCAAATTTCAAATATTGAAAAATTTCAAGAAGTAATCTTTAATTGCACAGTATGGCGCATTAGATTTGTAAAATCTTTGTCCACATTTATTTATTTGTTATGCCGAATCTAACCGTGTATTTAGATTTTTAATTCTGGATCCAGTTTTCAAATTGGTCTACATTAAGGTCCAAAGGGTCCAAAATTAAACTTTGTTTGATTTTAACAAAAATTGAATATATGGGGTTCTTTGATATGCTGAATCTAAACATGTATTTAGATTTTTGATTTTTGGCCCAGTTTTCAAGTTGGTCCAAATTGGGGTCCAAAATTAAACTTTGTTTGATTTCAACAAAAATTGAATATATGGGGTTCTTTGATATGCTGAATCTAACCATGTATTTAGATTTTTTATTTGTGGACCCCGTTTTTCAAATTGGTTCATATTGAGGTCAAAAGGGTCCAAAATTAAACTTTGTTTGATTTCATCAAAAATTTAATTATTGGGGTTCTTTGATATGCCAAATCTAACCGTGTATTTAGATTTTTAATTTTGGGTCCCGTTTTTTAAATTGGTCTACATTAAGGTCCAAAGGGTCCAAAATTAAACTTAGTTTGATTTTAACAAAAATTGAATTTTTGGGGTTCTTTGATATGCTGAATCTTAACATGTGTTTAGATTTTTGATTATGGGCCCAGTTTTCAAGTTGGTCCAAGTTGGGGTCCAAAATTAAACTTTGTTTGATTTCAACAAAAATTGAATATATGGGGTTCTTTGATATGCTGAATCTAAACATGTTTTTAGATTTTTGGCCCAGTTTTCAAGTTGGTCCAAATTGGGGTCCAAAATTAAACTTTGTTTGATTTCAACAAAAATTGAATATATGGGGTTCTTTGATATGCTGAATCTTACCATGTATTTAGATTTTTTATTTGTGGGCCCGCTATCAAATTGGTTCATATTGAGGTCAAAAGGGTCCAAAATTAAACTTTGTTTGATTTCATCAAAAATTGAATTATTGGGGTTCTTTGATATGCCAAATCTAACCGTGTTTTTAGATTTTTAATTTTGGGTCCCGTTTTTTAAATTGTCTACATTAAGGTCCAAAGGGTCCAAAATTAAACTTAGTTTGATTTTAACAAAAATTGAATTCTTGGGGTACTTTGATATGCTGAATCTAAACATGTGTTTAGATTTTTGATTATGGGACCAGTTTTCAAGTTAGTCCAAGTTGGGGTCCAAAATTAAACTTTGTTTGATTTCAACAAAAATTGAATATATGGGGTTCTTTGATATGCTGAATCTAACCATGTATTTTGTTTTTGGACATTGGACCATAATAGGTAAATTAAAAAAATTGAAGTTCTTAGACCACATTCTTTCTGTGTCAGAAACCTATGCTGTGTCAAATATTTAATCACAATCCAAATTTAGTGCTGTATCAAGCTTGAATGTTGTGTCCATACTTGCCCCAACTGTTCAGGGTTCGACCTCTGCGGTCGTATCAAGCTGCGCCCAGCGAAGCATTTTATTTAACCACTCTTAGCTTATCAGATTACACATTCTTTGCTATAATATTAGAAAAAGTAAATGGTTTGCAATATCAGAATAATTTTTGGATATTGTTGAGAAATCCCACTTTTTATACGACTGCAAAAAAAATTTGCGGTCGACCGTCGTGTATTGGTATGACGTTGGCGTCGTCGTCGTCGTTCAATGACACATTGGTTTTCGCACTCTAACTTTAGTTTAAGTGAATGGATCTCTATTAAATTTTACCATAAGGTTCAATACCACAAAAGGAAGGTTGTGATTGATTTTGGGGGTTATGGTACGAACAGTTAAGGAATTAGGGGCCAAAAAGGGGCCAAAAATAAGCATATTTGTAACTTCCAGACATGACTTGTGTGTTAGTGTATGGATCTCTCTGACATTGTACCACAAGGTTCCATATCACAAAGGGAATGCTGGGATTGATTTTGGGGGTAATTGCCTCAAAATTTTAGGAATTAGGGTCCAAAAAAGGGTAAAAAAACAAGCATTTTTCTAGTTTCATGACAATAACTTGTGTGTAAGTGTATGGATCTTTCTAAAATTGTACTACAAGGTTCCATATCACAAAAGGAAAGCTGGAATTGAGTTTGGGGGTAATTGCCCAAACCGTTTAGGAATAAGGGACCAAAAAGGGGCCAATAATAAGCATTTTTTGAGTTTCCAGACAATAACTTGTGTTCAAGTGTATGGATCTCTCTGAAATTGTACTGCAAGGTACCATACCTCAGAGGGAAGGCTGGGATTGATTTTGGGGGTAATTGCCTCTAAAGGAGTAGGTCCGGTAAGGTCCGATTTTGGCCTCAAAATTCAGGTTCATCTGATGAAAGATTTTGGACAATTTTTAAACACTTAAGTGTCTACTTCAGTCGATTCAATTAGTTCATGTGAAAGATTTGAACTGATGTAGTCATTAAAGACGCTCAAATTCAAGCTTAAATATGAAAAATCTATCAAATATGCCATAATATGTCACTTTTCAGATGATTTTTGTCAATAATGAAAGTGGCTTCATTCTCAACCATTATATATGTTATGTGTTATCATCAAATACAACTTACATTTAAATATTAAGAATGAACACAAATGTGGCCACTTCCATTTCAGACGGAAACCGTCTAAAAATTTGCCAAAATGCTAAAATTTCGAAGATTTCAGTAATTTAGATTGACTTAATGATGCTAGTACCCGATACATGTGCATTTCATTGTCAAAAACAGCCCATATTTATGTAACAGAAGTATTCTTCTATCCAATATATAGCTAAAAATTTACATTTTAACAATTTTGTAAAACTGCTATATTTTGGGGCCAAAAAGGGTCTTACTGGGCCTACTCCTTTTAGGAATTAGGGGCCAAAAAAGGGGCAAAAAACAAGCATTTTTCTAGTTTCAGGACAATAACTTGTGTGTAAGTGTATGGATCTTTATGAAAGTGTACTACAAGGTTCCATATCACAAAGGGAAAGCTGGGTTTGAGTTTGGGGGTAATTGCCCTAAATGTTAAGGAATTTGGGGCCAAAAAGGGGCCAAAAAACAAGCATTTTTATAGTTTCCAGACAATAACTTGTGTTCAAGTGTATGGATCTTTTTGAAATTGTACTGCAAGGTACCATACCTCATAGGGAAGGCTGGGATTGAGTTTTGGGGGTGATGAATCATAAGGGGGTTCAAAAAATTGGGGGGGGGGATATTTTTTTTTCCTTTTTTTTTCTTAAAAATTTTCCATTTTAAATTGGTTATTTCTGATTTATATATAAAAGCAAATACTAATGATATGGTTTGAATAGGTAATTTAAAAAATTTTAAGTTCTTAGACCGCCATGACCACATTCATTCTGTGTCAGAAACCTATGCTGTGTCAAATATTTAATCACAATCCAAATTCAGTGCTGTATCAAGCTTGAATGTTGTGTCCATACTTGCCCCAACTGTTCAGAGTTCGACCTCTGCGGTCGTATCAAGCTGCACCCAGCGGAGCATTTTATTTAATGTTTGCACGATGTCCTTTATTTCTCAAAATTTGTTATTTTTTAAAATGTATTGAAAGTTATGAAAAAGCAATAAACATGATAAAGCTGTTTGTTTATTGCTGAGTAAACAGCCATACTTAATTATTATTATTGGCTTAAAAAGGAACAACAGATATAACATGAAACCTTGAGATTTGATAGTTTAAATATATAAAAGGTTATTTTTTAAAGTTGAAATTATTCTTTATTATTAGAATGTTGGAAAAACAATGATTTAAGTGAAAACTTTTTACTTATATTACAGTTTATTTTTGTTTCTTTAGGTCCTCTTCCTGATTTTCCACACAATGATGCTGAAATGAATGGTCAAGTACAATATAGAGGGCTACCAGCCCCACCCCATGAGGCAGTAATATTTGAAGGAGATGGGATGCCACCTCCTTGCCCTAGGGAAATGTATTCCCAGGCAGGGGTTTATGATGTCATTCCTGGTGACCCTGTAAGTATTCCCCCATTTTTTTTGCTTTCTATTAAATTCTTATTTTTTGGAAAGGTTTCAGGTTTCCAATTTCAAATATCAAGGTGCTTTAATCTTGTCTTTGGCTAAAATGCATCTAATAATACTACAATTTCTTCAAATTTAAATGAATTAAAAATAAAGTGGGTTAAAAATTAAATTTTAAAGATCAATTGAAGTTTCATCAAGGTAACAGATTGGTCTATATTACAATGATGTATTGAAGCTTGTAATTTCAAACTCCAAAGACTAATATAAAGAATAGCAGCTATTTATTTCAAGGTCATTGCCACTGTCAGTGAGATTTGGGATGAAATACATATTTGTGAGCATGTCATGCACTAAGCATATTCAATCTCCCTACAACCAGACTTACTGTAGGGTATCTGGCTGTTTAGGATGCATAAATATATGCAGTCACATTCCTCCATTTGGTGATATAAACTCCAAAATTCATAGTTAATTTAGAATTAAGGTTACTTTTATGCAATTAAAGATTTGCTGTCTTTTAAACCTAATTGTTTCCACCTTTTCATGTGAAAGTGCATTGACTATATACTCCCTTCAATTGGAGCAGGCTTGTAATAACCACTGGTGAATGACCGCATTGACTCATGCACTGTAATATTTATTCCAGTGGAAATATTCCAGAATATTTTTTCCATTTGGAACTTATATTATGAAGGAACTTCTATTTCGTGACAATTCTATACTGTGTGATACTTTTTCAAATCAGTCACATATCTAACTTCCTGTTTGACGCATACATGTATCTTTTTCACATTGATGCACTTGCAAGAATTTTTTCAGTTTTTAAGCCCCCAGCTGTAGCGGAGGGGGCATTAAGTTTTACCCTTGTCCGTCCATACATCTCAAAGTTGGTTTCCGTTCTCTAACTTAAGTTTAGCTCAACCAAATGTTATGAAACTTATACACAATGCTTATAACCACAAAACACAGATCAAGTGTGAATTTTGATGGCGTCACTTTAATCGTTCTACAGTTATGCCCCTTTACAAATGGAAAAATTGCTGAATTTTTAGTTTCCGTTCTCTTACTTAAGTTAGCCTCATATACACCCTTCAATTGGAGCAGGCTTGTAATAACCACTGGTGAATGACTGCATTGACTATATACTCCCTTCAATTGGAGCAGGCTTGTAATAACTACTGGTGAATGACTGCATTGACTCATGCACTGTAATATTTATTCCAGTGGAAATATTCCAGAATATTTTTTCCATTTGGAACTTATAGTATGAAGGAACTTCTATTTCGTGACAATTCTATACTGTGTGACACTTTTTCAAATCAGTCACATATCTAACTTCCTGTTTGACGCATACATGTATCTTTTTCACATTGATGCACTTGCAAGAATTTTTTCAGTTTTTAAGCCCCCAGCCGTAGCGGAGGGGGCATTAAGTTTTACCCTTGTCCGTCCATACATCTCAAAGTTGGTTTCCGTTCTCTAACTTAAGTTTAGCTCTACCAAATATTATGAAACTTATACACAATGCTTATTACCACAAAACACAGATCAAGTGTGAATTTTGGTGGCGTCACTTTAATCGTTCTAGAGTTATGCCCCTTTACAAATGAAAAAAATGCTGAATTGTTCGTTTCCGTTCTCTCAATTTAGTTTGCCTCAACCAAATGTTATGAAACTTATACACAATGCTTATTACCACAAAACACAGATAAAGATTGAATTTTGGTGGCATCACTCTAACCGTTCTAGAGTTATGCCCCTTTACAAATGGAAAAATTGCTGAATTTTTAGTTTCTGTTCTCTTACTTAAGTTAGCCTCAACCAAATATTATGAAACTTCTACACAATGCTTATTTCCACAAAATACAGATCAAATTTGAAATTTGGTGGTGTCACTTTTACTGTTTTACAGTAATGCCCCTTTACAAATGAAAAAATTGCTGAATTGTTCGTTTCCGTTCTCTCAATTTAGTTTGCCTCAGCCAAATGTTATGAAACTTATACACAATGCTTATTACCACAAAACACAGATAAAGATTGAATTTTGGTGGCATCACTTTAACCGTTCTAGAGTTATGCCCCTTTACAAATGGAAAAATTGCTGAATTTTTAGTTTCCGTTCTCTTACTTAAGTTAGCCTCATATACTCCCTTCAATTGGAGCAGGCTTGTAATAACCACTGGTGAATGACTGCATTGACTATATACTCCCTTCAATTGGAGCAGGCTTGTAATAACCACTGGTGAATGACTGCATTGACTCATGCACTGTAATATTTATTCCAGTGGAAATATTCCAGAATATTTTTTCCATTTGGAACTTATATTATGAAGGAACTTCTATTTCATGACAATTCTATACTGTGTGACACTTTTTCAAATCAGTCACATATCTAACTTCCTGTTTGATGCATACATGTATCTTTTTCACATTGATGCACTTGCAAGAATTTTTTCAGTTTTTAAGCCCCCAGCCGTACCGGAGGGGGCACTAAGTTTTACCCTTGTCCGTCCATACATCTCAAAGTTGGTTTCCGTTCTCTTAACTTAAGTTTAGCTCAACTAAATGTTATGAAACTTATACACAATGCTAATTACCACAGAACACAGATCAAGTGTGAATTTTGGTGGCGTCACTTTAATCGTTCTAGAGTTATGCCCCTTTACAAATGAAAAAATTGCTGAATTGTTCGTTTCCGTTCTCTCAATTTAGTTTGCCTCAACCAAATGTTATGAAACTTATACACAATGCTTATTACCACAAAACACAGATAAAGATTGAATTTTGGTGGCATCACTTTAACCGTTCTAGAGTTATGCCCCTTTACAAATGGAAAAATTGCTGAATTTTTAGTTTCCGTTCTCTTACTTAAGTTAGCCTCAATCAAATATTATGAAACTTATACGCAATGCTTATTTCCACAAAATACAGATCAAATTTGAAATTTGGTGGTGTCACTTTTACTGTTCTAGAGTAATGCCCCTTTACAAATGGAAAAATTGCTGAATTTTTCGTTTCTGTTCACTAACTTAAGTTTGCCTCAACCAAATGTTATGAAACTTATACACAATACTTATTACCACAAAACTCAGATCAAGTACAAATTTGGGTAACGTTACTTTTACCGTTTTTCAGTTATGTGACTTATGTCCCTTTATAACTTTATATGATATGCAAGTGGGGACATCATCTGTGTCCCATGGACACATTCCCCATTTATTCTTAATATGTTATTACAAATTGGAGCTTGATATTTGTCATCACAATTATCTAGGTAATTACAAATCAGAGCTCCATGATATTTGGTAACAAGCTTCATATTGAAAACATATATTGTATGTCACATTTTAAGATATGCCTCTTATCACTTCCTGTTTACTGCATGCATGTTTGTTCTTTTCATTAATGGACATATAAAGAATTTTATCTCATTTCCCCAGCAACTACAAATCAATTGATATTCGATACCAAGCTTCATATTTGTGACTTATACCATGTGACATATTTTCAAATCACTTATCTACTTTATGTTTGCCACATACATTTGTTGCTTACATAAGAATGTTAGAAAGTTTGGTTGTATTTTCTCATCAACTACAAATCAGAGGTTCTTCACGTATGATTGCCAATGAGACAACTATCCACCAAATATTAAGGAACAAAGATGTGATCAGCCATACTGTACAACCTTCAGCAATGAGGAAAACCATGTATTAAGCTATAAGAGCCCCTGGGATGACAAAATGTGAAACAATTCAAATCCGAAAACCTACCACATGATTTAGACTAAAACATTAAAGTAAAACTAATTATGACAGACAGCAATCAATGACTACCACTGGACCATACGCTCCTGGCTTGAGACAGGCACTTTAAGATTGTGGCAGGATTAAATATGTATGTGAGTGCTCAACCCTCTCCTTAACCTTGAACAGTGGTGTACTAAGCACAACATAAGAACAAACAAGTTAGAAAAGGCTTGACCCATCTGATAGTACTAAACACAAAAACAACTTACAAAAAGGAGAAAAGATAAAGCATCAATCTAATAGTACACCCAGTTACTGAAAGCTAGTCGAACACAAATTTCAACTAATAAATAAAGCATGTTTTCCCAGACTAAAAAAAATGTTGTTTGATTGACAATGAGCCAACTATTGATCAATGGACTTGCATGTGAACAATTACAGGTCACTGTATGCCTTCAACAATGAGAAAACCCCATATAATAAAATAAGAAGATGTGCTATGATTGCCGATGAGACAACTCTCCACAAGAGACCAAATGACATAGAAATTAACAACTATAGGTCACCGTACAGCCTTCAACAATCAGCAAAACCCATAGTCAGCTAAAAAAATTCCCCGAAATGACAAATGTAAAACAATTCAGACAAGAAAACTAATGGCCTAATTGATTTTCAAATAATGAACAGAAACAAAAACGATATACAGCAACAAACGACAACCACTGAATTACAGGTTCCTGACTGGGGACAGGCACATACAGAATATGTATAGTAAATTAGAAAAGAACCAGGGATGACAAAATGTGAAACAATTTAAAAAAAACTTGACAAGAAAGTTGTTTTGAGTACCTAGTTGATAAATTTAATCAAGAGTCCATGAAAAAGAATAGAACATAAGCAAGTCATGTTGAATATCTTGAAAACCATAATAAACCCAATTCATAAACTGTTATTTACTCTTGTGTTGACCAATTTTAGTATCTTTGCCTATTATCTCAAAATCTAAAACAGATAAGTAGAAAGAAACAGCAAAAACAACTATCCTTACAAGATCTACAAAATTTCCAATTAATGAAATCCTCAATTGACCACACATAGGAGTTATTACCTTTAAATGATTTAAGCTTTGTACCTTTTATCCTGAAAACTATTTAAAGATAGGAAAAAACTTTAAAGGGCCATTAGTAATAAGGCAAGAAATTCAATTCAATAAATTTTTGTTTTTAGAAAATCCCATTCTCCTACAGTATGCTTTAGAATGAAAGGAATGAAAGGAATTTCTACACAATTAATGTGGAAATATGCTTGTATTTTTTTTTTCAGATTAGTTCCCAAAGAGTTATTGGTTGAATAATGGTTGTTAAATTTAAGATACTTGAATGCCCGTACTGACATGTCAGTTATATATATCTGAGGTAGTAAGCATTCTTTTGTTTTGCAGCATAACCAAAGGAGACAGAAAAAGCCAGCCACTCCTCAAAGGAGTCCTAGTACAAGATTGAGTAGTCAGGTAACAACTTCATGAAGAACAATTATTCAGTTATTATTATACCCCCACAAACAAAGTATAAAGGAATCATGTTATCTGTCTGCATGTTCCTCTTCATGTCAAATGCATAACTGTTATGATGTAGAACTTAATTTGACCAAACTTAATATGCAGATGTATCATGGAAAGAGTGTGTGTCACATACCAAAATCAGGTGGCTGTGACCTTGACTTTGACCCTATGATAGTGAAACCTCGTCTGCTTGATATTCAGGACATAACTATCGTACTATAGAACTTAGGTCGATCAAACTTGTTATGTACATAACATATACTCCAAGTAACACACAAAATAATCCTGTCTCAACAAGAAAAGCCTTCTTGTATTACTCTGCAAGCTTAAGATAGCTATGTAGGGGCTATGTTAGAATAGAAACCAAGAAAGGCTTAAAAGAACAATCTAAAAGAAGTACATAGATGATGAAATTAAGTCACCAACAGAAATAAAACAGTCTGGAAAAAACAACACCACAGCTTCATATTTTAGTTATTTCTATGTACAATGTATATCTTTTAGATGATATCTTGTACTATTTAAAAAAGGTGGTAAAAGTTTCAGTCAGCTGTAATCCTTAATCAAGCAACTTGATAAACAGATTGTATAAATATATTTGATAGTTACATCTCCTACGATTGTTATAATAATAGGATAGTTCACATGCGGATATTTATTAGGTCTTGAATGATTAAAAATCAATTTTTATTGCCTTTCTCCTAAAGCCATAGTCTTTAGAACTGTTTTTAAGGTATCATTTGCAAATGAAAATAACACTATAGAAATTGTATGTGTCTGAAGCACTTTTCTGGATATACCTTCATCTGGAACACTCAAACCAAATTGTCAAAGCCAAGGATGTATAATGTATTAAGTACCTAAACATGTAAAGAGCTAATATATGACCAAGAAGCACCAAAAATAATTAAAATTATTGTGCAAGAAGCAGAATAAAACTGCATTTAACAAATTTGTACAAACAACATTTATTTTTTTTACTTAATATTTATTAAAGAAATATATTATGTGAATAGAAGATAACAGATATATATCAAAAAGACAGCAACCCAACTACACAGAAACCTGGAAAAACATCTTAGAGATCAATATATGGTCTCCCACTATAGATAAAGTGTCTTATTTACCTTTTGTCAAGTTTAAATTACCTCGAGTTTAGAAAAATTTCTGACAAGCACATTAGCACTAAAATGTTAACTTTTTACTTCAAGATTTCTATTTCCATTTGATAATGGAAATCTCAAAGCAGATAGTTTTTGATTAAAAAAAAATAATCACACATTAGGAAAGCCCTTTCTAAGCGTGTCTGCACAATTGATAACATAGATTTTACAATTAACAAATGGTAATAAGACCTGCAAATACACAACCGATGCAGAAGCTAAAGAACTCACACAAATATGTATCATGTATTAACACTGCAATTTTTTGTATTTTATTTTTGAAAGAAATTACAGTGTAAACTTAGAGCATAACTGTTTATTATTTAAAAGCAAACTTGGTTCATTTCATTGGAACTTTTTTTTTAAATTCTGATTACTTAGGATATAATGTCATTTAAATATTTTCTAGGTGTAGAAGATATCTATTAATTTATGTATTGTTTGGTCTTTATGAAGTGTAGTAATAAACTGTGTTTCAAAGCTTTATAGAAAACGAACCTGCCAAAAGATGGGCACATCAAGCACAATTGGAAAACCTAAGATTTACGGTACATACTTTATCTACTACAACAGTTTTCCTACCTCCACTAATCAAAACTGTCTGCCATGAAATATACTGTGTTTAAAGTGGCATTATACACCAAACATCGGTCTGTATCCTATTAGAGCCACAGGAGATATCTCAGTTGGAATCTTGTCCTCATATTATGATACAGTGCATTTTATATACAGTAGATTTTAAACATTCATTTTTCTCAAATTAATTAAGTTAAATTTTTATTTCAGTCTGTTCAAGATGACGTGTTTACAGATCTTCAACATTCTCCGAGACAACACACTTCACAACAGCAGTTTACCCATCATCCACAGCAAAGCAATATTGCCCATCAACAACAAATTCTGCGCCAACAGCCTGCATCACCAAAGACAAAACAAAAACATATGTCACATCCTGATCCTAGCCAATCAAAACCATTCTCTTATTTTGGATCTGCTGGTCCAGCACCTCTAGTTCATAGGCATTCAGAAGGTCAACTACAATACAGAACAGAGCGTTCTCCTAGTGATTCAAATTATGAACAAGTGAACAATTATCATAATGGACAAACAAGAACTGGTTATGAACATATGAGTCCTCCTAATTATAGAGAACCACAAATGGGAGGAGGTATTGGACATCATTCTGGTAGTCCAGTTTTACAACGACAATCATCATTAACAAGGAAACCATCTTTATCTCCCGTGATGAACAGAAGACATGAATCCCCAAAAACCAGTAATCAGAGAGCTTCTGGTCAACGTGGTCCTCCATCATTTCCTGCCCCTACAGCACCAGGTTATGTCAGACCTGTCTCCCCACCTCTTCCTCCACACCCAGTAGGGTATGATCAACCACCACCCCCACCTCCTATTGAAAAAATTCCAGGGCATCAATCTGTGACATCATTTGAACTTGGTAGAAAGAAAAGACAATCTGGTGAAACAGACATAAATCGTAACCAAGTTCAAGACCCACACTTACAGTATCCTCGTCAGCAATCAACAGAAGGATACAGTCCTTTGCAGACTCAACAAGGTTATTATCCAGGACATCAAACAGATCCATATAGCCCCACTCATCAACAACATAATACTGGATTAGTATATCAACAACAACAACCATATGGTGCTGGATCACCACAACAACAACAATATTATAACCAGCAACAACAACAGTATAACCACCAACAACAACAGTATATTCAACAGCAACAACTTCAATATATTCAACAGCAACAATATACACAACAACAACAATATACACAACAACAAATGTCTTCCCAGGTTCCATACACCCCGCCTGTTCAGCCAGTTTCTGGTGGTGGGCTTGCTGATCAATTAATCAAAGTAAAACTAAAATCTAAATCTGTTAGTGAAGGAAGTGAGGAAAAGAAGGCAGGAGAATTGGCTGCTGAACTAGGAAAAGTTAAACTGAAACCAGCAAAACCTAAAGGTGAGTTACCTTCAGCAGAAACATCACCCGATTTTCCAGTCAACCAACTACTTGGTAATGTATTATTAATTGTGTACTTCAGCATGCACAATTGATATAAATAGGGATAGGAAAGGGAAAAAAAAGAGCTGAGCATAACATTTATCATTCATAATCTTTCTTTCAATACTTTAAGCAAAAATTAATTTTTGATGTGGACTCATTTTTTAAGTCAATATTACTCTTTTACACCGACAGCAGCAATCGCATGTGAGACAAAGGGTTCTGCGGAACCCTTACAAATTTTTACCAATTTTTTTGCATTATTGCCTAATATCTAAAAAAAAAACTATAATTGGTAGATAGATTCTTTAAAACGCAAATATGATCAGCTTGACGGAATCTACAAATAAATCAATATGTTGGCAATACTGAAATTGTCAGTTTGCTCTTAATAGAGTTATTCCCCTTTAATGATGATTTTCACTAAAAAGTAGCCCTTGTTGAAGATGCAGGTGAGCGACAGAGGCTCTTTTAAACCTCTAGTTATTTGCGAAATTTTTATTCAAAATTATTAAATAATTATTTTTTTAGAAATCTATTTGCTTATCCTATTTTTAAAGATTTGTTTAAAAATGTACATTAAGGAAAGAGAAAATCTGAGATTTTGACAAGGGAGATAACTATTGCTAAAACGAGTTCAACTAAAGGGGAAATAATTCCATTTATCTTTTTATTTCTTGAAAATAAATTATCTAAATAAATTCCCATAAAATTTTCAATTCCTTGACAAAAAATTTATTGTATTTCATTTTGAACTAGATTTTGTCTCACTTAGACATCATAGATGACTTTGCAGGTACTTGTAGTTTTTGTTGGGTTTTGTTTCATAAACTATCATGACTATTTTCCTTGTTAATTTTTTTTCTAAAGCAAACTTTTTGAATAATTAGCAGTTTTAAATATTTGCTAGTAGATTTTTTCAAGACAGGCAAAAATATTGATAATTGAAATTTAAAGTAACATTTTGCCTACTTGCTGGTGTTCTTTTCAAACAGTTTTTCTATATCTGTTTCAGTAAAGCTTCACAATGATCATTTTTCATTTTGAACATCTTGCTTCATGAGTAATTTGTGTTCCTTAAGGTGGAATGGTAGTATTTTCTTGGCCATAGGTCAGTAGATGTTGGATTTTTGGTCATATCACAGTGTGCAGATACATTGACCTAAGTAGGGAATTGCAACAGAGCAATTTAGTTCCCGGAGAGTAAATGCTACTGATCCACCTTAACGACCTATCTGTACTGTATATATATAGTCAGACGATATGGATGTAGATATATGGAAGTAATTAATATTAGAATAAAAGTAGGTACTTATAGGACACAATGATTACATATCATTTACTTCCTGAGGTTAAGAAGATATATTTATAAATCAACATTTTTCTTGCAGAAAACATGTCTCCACCTCCAGAGAAAACAGAGGAGTCACCTGCTGGCTTTCTAACAAAGTTAAAACCTACTGGTGCTAAACCCTGGGAGAAAGGTCAGATTATTTGTTCTTACTAATAATTTTTATTGATGATTTTAATATGATATAAAGTTTTACTTTCATAGAAGGACAAGAACTATGAAATTTATGATATTATTCTTATATTTCAAGCAAAAACACATTTTTCTTTTTGTGAAAAGTAAACACAGAAAAACAGGTAATGCTTAAAACTGTAAAGAAGTAAGGAAAAGAGGATTACTGACCTGATGTTTACACAATAGATGCTTAGATTTAGTGTATTGAAGACTTTATTTCCCTCCTCAGACTCAAAGAGCAATAATATTCCTTTGTGCTGATGCTGTTCTCACATTACCCCATTATCGTTATAAGTTTTATTAGGACTTTATGATCATTTTTTTTGGGGGGGGTTTCCTCATTAACACATGCTTTATCAAATGTTGGTGATCTCTCACTTCATCCAAAAAAGTCAGCTACAAACAATGTTTAAGCAAGCTCTTTCAAGCTAATGTCAAGCAATCATGTTGATATCTGTAATGAATTATGGATCAAAATATATTGTAGACTTTTTGTTTTCTTGAGTTGATTAAGAATTCAATCGACTAGGGTAAATTTCACCTTACTTTAATTACTTTATAATTAGTTAGGAATGTAAATATTCTTAGCATGGGTTACATAAACTTCATGCTTACTTTGAAGCACAAATGTTACAGTGGACTACATCTTGACTCATGCTGCCAAAAGGGAGAAAAGGGTTAGTTTTATGATGTTCACAATTATGACTACAAATTAGATGGGTGTTTTTATTGATTGGATGTATTTATTTTGTTTCAGATACCTCTCCTGAACAAATTCCACAACAAGAAGTAGTGATTGAGGAGCAATTTGATGAAGATTATTTTCCTCCCCCACCACCAGATTTACAAGAGTTATCTTCTCCTGAGCAAGCCAATGGATTTCAAACAATACCAACAAGTTCTAAGCCACAACAAAAGAAAGGTATTTTATATTATTCAATCCAAATGAATAAAATAGTTACTACATATGTAAATGTGGACCTTTTTGGAACTTTCATATGCCACAACAAGAGACATACTTCTTGTTAGTCTCAAAGGTTATGTGAGATGCTGTGATTTCTTGGCATCTATCATCATGGTAATTGTAAACCTTATCTCCACTGAAAACACCAAGGTTCAGCTGTTTAACCAAGCATGGACTGAATTGTACAATTTAGTAGAAAAAAAAACAATTTGAAGGTTAAGCTGGATCCAAATTTTGTTTAAATGGTGCACTTACAATAATATTAGAAAGTTACTGTACATGTGATAACCACACTTGTGACCAAACATGGCTGCTGCAGTTCCTATCGAATTGGAAATTTAACAAAAAATTTAATAAATATTCTGAAAAATCATGTGAAGGAGTAACTGCTGTAGATCTTTGATTGAAAAATATATTTTTGAACTTTTATGAATAATCACCACATCTGGCTTCAAACATGACCACCTACATTACAAATATAATTCAACACAAAATTCTGAAATATTTTATGAATACAAATTTGCCCTACAGATTTGTTGAATATCAAAATTATGATTCTCTTTAATGGTTTAGTTTAATGACACCATCTGCCTTTAAACATAGCTTCTACTTGAAAAAAAAAGTTTAATTAAATATAAACAACTTAAAAAATCTTATGTACCAAAAGTTGCAAAAAATGAAAATTAGACAATTCAATAAAAATGCATGTGAAGGAGCAATTTCTGTTTAATTTTGAAGAAATACTACAAGAATTATGGTTAATGACCCAGTCCACCTTCAAACATGACCTCTATTAACAAAAAAATCAATAAAAAATTTCAGAAAATCCTGTTATGCACATACTTAAACCATTTAGTTGGTTTATATTGGATCAAACAATCAGTGTATTAATAACTCAACTTAGGTTATTAATACATTTATAATCTTCAATGACCTTCACACCAATAAAAATATGAAAAGAGAATTGCATATGTATTGTGACATTACTACTAACAGTTAGAAAAAAATGTCATATTTATGGCGGTAAAAACTTAGGGATTGATTGATTGTTGGTGTTTTAACTAGTGTTGTCAAATTAAACAGTGTTGTCTTACCAGTTAGTCAGATAATCTTTCGACCAATTAATTGGTTAACAGGTAGTAAAGTTGATTGTTAAAATCTTTGTCTACAGTACTCTAAAAATATAAAAATAAGAAGATTTGGTATGATTGCCAATGAAACAACTCTCCACCAGAGACCAAATGACATAGAAGTTAACAACTAACTGCCTTCAACAATGAGCAAAACCCACACCGCATAGTTGGCTATAAAAGGCCCCGAAATGTCAAATGTAAAACAATTCAAATGAGAAGACTAATGTCCTGCTTTATGTAAGAAAAACAAATATGATATACAGCAACAAAAGACATCCATAGAATTACAGGCTCTTGACTTGGGACAGGCACATACAGCTGTGTGTTGCAGGGTTGAATGCATGGCTTCATGATACCATGAATTGAAGTTTATTCTTGGCCATTATAAGGCTTGGCTTTTAGAATTTCTGGTGAAGTTTTTATTTAAATAATTCAGTACTACCATATCTACAGTACTGTTTTTGTAATAACTTCAGATTTAGAAGATGAAAATCTTCTTGATCTCAGCGAATTGACAAAGTATGAAAATTCAGTTCGGTGTTTCAATTTGAGATGATTAAGCATGTTACTTGTACCACACAGTATACATTAATTCCATTCACATAATTTGCATTTCCCCGTTTTTGAGTCGGGATTTCATTTAAATTACGAGAAAGCCTTGGACGATGGAGGTGTCATATTTACGCAATATTAAATCAAAAGTGAAATAATAAAGTAAATAGTAAAATTTAATCAGCTTATAATTGTTCAAAATACATGTATGATAATTGTCCCCTGCAAAACGTGTTGCGGTGGACATGAAAATACAGGGCGTCCGTCCGTACTTCCGTCCCGTCTTGTTAGCTCTCTCACGGGTACAATTCTTGCCAGATTTTTATAAAAATTATACTATAAGTTAATATCAGCAATATCTCAGACAACTTCTATCATGGTGGGCGATCGACTTTTTAGTCCCCTACCGACTAAGTCGAAGGGGACTTTTGGTTTGCAACCATCCGTCTGTCTGTCCGTCCGTCTGTCTGTCCATCCGTCAGTCTGGCAAATCAGTTTTCCACACTTTTTTTCTTCATTCTTAAAGATATTGATTTGATATTTGGTATATAGTTTTATCATGACAAATTTTAGATCAAGTTCGAATTTTGTTCTGGTCTGATGATTTAGTTCAGAGTTATCATGAACAGATATATCATGTTAAGGAGGGGTATTTGCGAAAAATACCAGTCGAGAGAATGTTAAATTTCGCAAGCCGTAAGGCGAGGGAAATTCATTCCCAAGGCTGGTATTTTTCGCAAATACCCCTCAAGAACATGCTATATCTGTTTAATTACACCAAATGTTAACGTTCAAAAACGCATTGATGATCGTGACGTTACAAGCGTCCAGTCAGATAGAGTATTTTTTGGCAAATACCATGGCAGAGAGGGTAAAAAAGGCAAATCCTTTTTGCATATACCTCGGCGGCGTTAAAAAATGAACGATATTCATTTGATAACAGTAAATTGGTGAAAAATACACTGGCTATCAACCAATCAAAACCCAGGATTCTTACATAAGGTGTAATTATGGTCCATATCTAATGTTAGAGTACTACATTTTGTATGTTAAACCATATTTCTGTACAAAGGGAGATAACTGATTTTTAAAGTGTTTGTTATTTTGTATAAACTAATTTTGTGAATGCTATATATATAAAAAAAAATTATGAAGTGAAATCCTTTAATTAGATAATAATGTATTTTTATTAAGGTATTTATTTCATTACATTACAATGTGTATAGATAAAAGTTGTTGACATTTTATAGATAAGTTACAAATCTAAATTAGTTTGTGACAAATGAAAGAAAAAATATTTGGAACTATTTATTATATTTGATTATAATTTGAAAATAGATATACATTGTATTACATCATACCTAATCTTAGTGAACTATTAATCATATCTAATGTAAAGAGTGTTTTCCACACTTTTTTTCATCGTGCTTGAAGATATTGATTGATAATTGGTATATAGTTTTATCATGACAAGTTACAGATCAAGTTCAAATTTTTGTTTCGGTCTGATAATTTTGTGCAGAGTTATGGTCCTTCGACTTGAAAAATTCACTCATATAATCCGTTTTCCACACTGTTTTTAGTCATGCTTGAAGATATTGACTGATATTTTCTTTTTGTTTACACCATGACAAGTTATAGAACAAGTTAGCATTTTGTTCTTTTTAAAGAGTTATGCCACTTGGAAATATTAAATTTATGGAAAATGGTCTCGTTAGCGCTCTCATGGGTACAATTCTTGCCAGATTTTTATAAAACTTATACTATAGGTTAATATCGGCAATATCTCGGACATGTTCTATAATGGTGGACGATTGACTTTTTTAAAAAGAGTTATGCCCCTTGGAAATATAAAATATGTGCAACGTGGAGGACATTGGAACTCTGTTCTTTTATGATATTTACTTTAGATCTTGCCCCAAGCTGATAGACAAGTTATCTTTGTGCTTATTAATTTTATAAAACTGGAATGTTTTAAAGATAACTGAAAAGCAATCAATATACTGGACAATGATCTGTCAAATTAAGTAGCAAGACCATTATTTAAAAATTCAAACAAAATTTAAAGTTAAAGACTGCAATACACAGTTATATCGAATCTATTAAAATTGAAAAAAGGTCTGGTTAACCGGTTAGTGTTTTTGGTATTCAATATTTGGTCCTTCCGACAGTTAACCGTTGACAACACTAGTTTTAACGCAACCTTCAGCAAAAATGGCTACATCATGGCATCCATTTTTTATTGGTGGAGGAAGTCAGAGTGTTGGGAGAGTACCAACGACCTTTGGCAGGAAACCTGGCAATCATAGTCAATTAAGATTGGAGTTGAACTCACCTTCCACATGTGGGGTTTAAACTCACAACCTCAGTGTTGACAGGCTAGTGATAAACTTCTTAAAAACTGAAGGATAATATAATAGAAAAGAGAGAATATATGGGTATCCATCCATGACACAAAATCCGTATATGCACAGCAAAAACACTAAAAGCAAAGGAACAGTGCTTTTTATAGCTGTTTTATTATTTCATGTATATTAGATCCTCAGTTGTGGTCCATTCAATTTGAAACTTTTACATAGTTTGCATATGTCGTAAGGTAGTGATGGATAAGCTGACCATCTTAGACCTCATGTGTTTTGTATAGGATTAACTTAGAGAGCAAATTTTATAAGGAAATAATGTACATACATGTAGTTTATCTGCATGATCTTTTGTTTAGTTACAGAGTTTTAATTCCCCCTTTGCGGCTGAAGGGGGATTAAGTACGCAAGTCCAAAAATATAGTTTCCATTATTTAACTTTAGTTTGCCTCAACTAAATATTATGAAACTTATATACAATGCTTATTACCACAAACCACAGATCAAGTTCGAATTTGGGTGGCGTCACTTCTACTGATCTGGTGTTATGCTCTTTTATATATGGAAAAATTGATGAATTTTTCGTTCTATTCTCTAACTTTAGTTTGCTTCAACCAAATGTAATGAAACTTATACACAATGCTTATTACTACAAAACTCAGATCAAGTTTGAATTTGGGTGGTGTCACTTTTACCGTTCTTGAGTAATGTCCCTTTATAATGTTATATGCAAGCGGGGCATCATCTGTGTCCCATGGACACATTCTCCATTTATTTTCATTTTATATTATGGTAAAAATTTTACTTTCAAATACTGAAATACTTTCGATTATATTCAAGTATTTTAGAATTTTATGTTTAAAGGGAGATAACAAAAAAGATATAGTTTCATAATACAATAGACCATTTTACC